TATATATATATATATATACTACAGCTGTTATCAATAAAAGGGTTGAATCCATTTTCTTAATGATGCAGAAAATGGAAAAAGGATGTACATGACACTTCAACCACAGAAGATTATCCTGACAATCTCTTATCACTCTTTGCACTGATGGAGATAGTGTTATAAAAAGAAAAAAAAAGGGAATTGTGTTGTTACAAAATTCAAAAGTGAAAACCCTTTTATAAAGTCTAGATATCCTGCTGCCAAAAGGCTGGAATTTGTCCAGATACAGAGCAACAAATTCCATTCCATACATGGTGAAGTAGCAGACATTGTTAAATGATATTTGTAAGTACGATCATAATTCAGCCAAATACAGCAACATTATTAGATGCACAGAAAATGCTAGGCCAAACTAAAGGCAAACACGGGTTTTAGCAAGTTTTTGTAACAAAATGGCTATCTTTTACCAACTGTTCAGATGCAATCATTACTAATTTTGATGCTCTTTTAACAACTCTAAAATAGGGCTAAATCCAAGGATCTCCTGGAGCAAACAGCCAAAACTATAAGTTTATAGAAATAACATAATTCGTGATTGATGTTTTGGCACCACTGAAAATTTTGTACTTATCTCTATACGAGAAGCGGAGTTTACTGGAGTCAAGCTAGTCTATATACATCTGTATTGAAAAATATTCAGAATGATAACAGTGCACAGTTTCAGTATTGTTTAGACACACTGAAAGACCATACTGAATAATACAGTTTCTATTTCAAATGACAGAGCTTCAGTATTGCAATCATAAAATTCTTGGAAATATGCTGAAAAATATCTCTAATAGTTTAATGAAGATGGTACATCATTTAATTTCTTTGATGTGTTGGTTCCAGAGAATATTCCACCATCAACTAATGAATTGAAGGACTATGGTAAGGGTTCAATAGACATTTTCTGTAAATTCTTTGGGATTGATAAAGTTAAAGGAGAAAAGGCATCAGTTCTTATTTATTCAAGAGAATTTATGCAGGAATTGAGCAATTTTAAACAGTTAATGTTTAAATATAAAAAATCAAAGTTCTGAGGACTCGTAGGCCACGACTGTCACAAAATTTGACGAAGAGGACCCAACTGTGCCTAGAGTAACTAGGATTTGCCGTACATGCCCTCAATCATCTGTAAATGTAGAAAAGGGGATTCAGCAGGCAAAAACATAATTATACTTAGTTTAAGGAATTCCCACACCACTAAAAACCTAGACAGGTTGATGATGTTGATATAAGTTCCTACAAACAGTGGTGTGTTGAAAAGAACAAACTTGTTTACTGCTTGAACAGATGAAAAAAATGAAGGAAACATGAATTATACATTATAGTGGATTACACTCAAATGCAAAATTCTGTAATTTGCCAGAAGTCCTCCTGTCCATTTGTTAGGTAACTTCTCGTAAATACTGCCAATTACAATTTTTGCTCAATTTTAACTAAGAGCAGTTGCAATTAACAAGAATCCACTGTACTGAATAACCATCTTGAATGTTCAAAATAAAATATACTTAAATTGGAAAATAGTTGTTTTTTATTTCATTTGAGGTACAGTCAAGGTGCACTTGAGATTTTCTTAGTATATTTTTCTACCCAACCAGGGCTTGAGTTGAGGTGGAGGGAACTGGAGTGCCGTTCCTGTTGTATGAGATTGCTCCTTTTGTTAGAAATTTTTATGAGAGCTTTCCTGTTGTTGTATGTCAAAGGACATACATAAATTTAAAGATAAGTTATCACAATCTTACCAATTCATATCGTTTATGCAGGCCTGTAATGAAGTAGGCCTACTTTCCAACATGTCATTCTTCTATATCTGAATTAATTTTCTGTGTCAACATATATTGTGACATCATCAAATAATTTAAATAAGATACTCTGATGCCCCTCAGACCCCCCTCATAGGGGCTGTAAAACTGAGCTCCACTTGATAACTTTACACAACTCAAGCCCTGACCACAACAGTTCCTTTCCAAAATGTAATATTTAATATAAATATAATAATAAATATAACTAAAGTAAATAGATTTTGACTAAAATTACAATTAGGGTGAGCTGAACTTCTCATGCGTGAAGAACAAAACTGTTAGATATTACTAAGAATGGGTACTTTCTTCTGGGTTCACAATACATGGATTTTATAATTACATGATCTGTAGTTCATTTTTTATTGCTTAATTAAATATTATTTGACATTTTACACATAATATACTTGCTTTTAAAGTGCACTGAGACACTAAAACCATAACTGTATCAATTTACAAGAACAGAGCATAAAATGTGAGTACTCCTTCACCACTCAAAATTTTGGGAACTTATACAATATATTTTCATGTTACATTAACACGCTACACTAATACTAAACCAGATTTCTACGAGTGCTGCATTGGGTTTAAATTCTGCACTATAGGCATTTAACACATTGACTTCAGGTATTCACCTCACCTCACTTCATTTTTTTTTGTAAATCATAGTTGGTCCTAAACAAACAGAACAATAAAAGTTTTAATTAAAATTGTTTTCCTATTATACCTAATTTAATCGCTCTTCCCGAGGTACTCAAGCTACAACGATTTATAGTTTGTAAATAAGTTTTTGTAACCTTTTTCTACCAGCTATTTTTCAGTGAAAGAGTAAAAATGTATACAGACTAGCATGCCACAATTCATAGAATCTCAATACATTGTAGTTGTTTCTTAAATCTGAAGGTTTTATAATCTTGTTAACATTAAACTTACCAATAATTAGGTTCACTTTATCTTGGTTCAAAACTGCTTTAGTCTCTCCACTTTTCATGGTAAGTCTTTTCCCTGTCACGTGACTGCTGATCATTTCTTGTTTTGTAAATAAAGCAGCCATAAGACTACAGGTCATCTTCTTGTAATCTTTACACAGTCTTATTGGATAAATAATGTCTTCTGTAAGCATATCTGGCAACATCAGCTGAAGTTCAAATTGGGGGAAAAAAAGTATGTTTAATTATTACTACTATAATTTTTTTATTACAAATAGCCACTCCTTAACTAACAAGTAATGCAATACCGAGTTATTTTTCATAACTAATTTGAGACTACGTCCCACTTGATTTATGAAACCATGATGAAGAATAATGGAATAATTACTAGAGTAGCAACAGCTACTAATGGAGCCTCTTCCATAAAACTTTTATGTTCTACTAATTTTAAATGTTATTTTGAGAAACATTTCCTGAGGCAGAAAACATTTTCTGCTTAGTTACTTGTAATAAGATCTTTATACATAAACTTGCATTATTCTGCATGCACTCAATTATGTGTCAAAATGTTTCCTATGAGATGCTTTATAGTTGTAAAATTGGAGGGAGTTGAGATTTAAAGTTTTTCTGGTATTGTTTAGTAATATGGAAGGAATATCTTCAAATATGACACACTGAAAAGGTTAAAGTAGTAACTTGCAAATCATTCTTTATACCCCCACTTCTTCAATAAAAATTACATTGCAGAAGAAAAACTTGTAGTCAATTAATATCGGATAACACTCTATCAAAACTATGGAAATATATAATTAAAACCAACTTAAATTCTATCTGGAGCCATATCTAAAAAAAAGATCAAAATTACATCCAAAATTCAAAATTTTTATATTTACATATTTTATATATGTTATTAGCAAATCATGTCTATACAAAATTATATCAATTTTCTAATGTTCCAAAACAATTACTGAAAACTTACATTATGCATATATGGAAAATTAATGTAGGTCTTGATGACATTGTTGCCCCCTATAATAAAAAACAAAGAATGTGAATTTCAAATTAGAACCAAAAAATGTAAACTTTTTATCTGCACTTATTTACAGTGATGAAATAAATAACAGTAAACAACTATTAACAATCTAATAACAAGAAAACAAGAAAATCTTTGTTTTTGAATTCTTGATATTCACTTCAATGCAGACAAGTCAGATATACAGATATCTTTCCAAAAACTGTTTATAGATACAAATAAAACACACAGTTAAAAACAGATTTATTTCCACAGCAAAATATGTTATTGCCATATAAAGAAATAACAGTTTGAACATTGATTTCACTAAAAACCTGTGCAACAGAATAAAAAATGCAAAATAAAGACAAAACAAACACGAACACCTGATATAATACAATCAAAGCTTATACCCCAACTCAAGAATAAAACACATGAAATGATGGTAAATAACATATAAGAATCCTAAGTCAACTATCAGCATTGTGGTATAACAGCTTAAATAATGTTGTGTGACCAGATGAGATAATGGCCTTCTTGTATCTTCAACTGTATAATCAACTTTATGGTTTTCTTTTCTATTTTGAAGACTTGAACAACAGTAATTCAACCACCTTGTTGAACCTGAAAAAAAAAAGAGAGAGAGAGAGAGAAGAAAACATCAGTGTTTTTAGCTTAAAATTAAACATAGTGCTAGTTCCCAAGGAATTTATGCAGGAATGATATATCCTGAACAGCACTTCTAAATGACATCAGCACTGACTGATACATTTAAAAAATACTCCAGAAACAATCAGAAATTTCTCCTAGAGCACTTGCTCACAGTTTTATTAGTATAATAAATATAGTTTACTCTACAAAGACATATATGCTTTTATTAATAATATCATCAATGCTAACTTGAAAATATATCAAACTGCTGCTGACTGGAAATTGCTACAAATATGAGATGACAAAGATTTTTTTATAGTACTTGTCAATTTTTAATTGCTGACTGGCTGAATTAAGAATGTTGTATTTTTTCCTGTTGGAAACTGCAATTTCCTTAGCCATAAGCATAACTGTAATATGAGGCATGATTATATTTATCAGTTTGTTTGTGACAAAATGGAGGATGTTTTAACTCAATATTCATCTATGTGAATATCAGAAATCATAATATTAATAAATAATATACACTTTTCTTAATAAACTTAGAATTTCACATAGTATTTTTTTTTTAAAGTATCTCAGTATAAGCAAAGAAAAACCTTTATGTTTCTTCTCGATTCATTAACTGCTAATTAACAATGTTTCCCATAATGTATGTTTGTGTACCAAACAGCCTTTTGATTGTCTCTCCACTTCTATTTGTAAATGCCCTTCAAAGTAGTTTTTAATTTACATTATTTGGTTGATTTTGCTTTCTAGCTGATCTTGATTCTCCATACTTTTCTTCTTACTTTGTAACTATTTTCCCACTACCTCGTGGTTGAAATATCTTTAATAAAGAACTTCTAATTACTATTTAAAACTAATTTGGATATCCTTTGTAAAGCTTATATTTTCCACATAATAAATATGTTGCTTAAAAAAAAGTATTGATAAATAACACATACATGGAAACAAGAAATTCTACTATTTTCATAATTTTGATATATATTTCAACATCCAGATAGTAATATTACTTTTGAATAACCAATAAATGAAAGAAAACCATTAAAGATTGAACATGCTGACAACATGCCATCTGACCCACCATGTTCATCTATTATCTTAAACTAATGGATACCTAAAACCAATACTTCAAAGTCTAACCTACTACTTAAGAGCATGCACAGATCTTAGTTAAATATTTAAGCCACCACTTGAATTTCCCCTTTGTGTGTGACTACTATTCACATATTGTCAAATAATCTCTCTTAACAAGATAAAAAAGAATCTGGCACACTGCTTGAATGCTACCGGAAGAACCTTCAAATGATTAGAACTATCTTTGAATTCCTGTTTAGTAAGCAAACCTTCAAACACAACCCTAATTATAATTAGACTAATTACAAAACAAGAAACCAGATAATACAAGCATGTTTTGAATGTAACCTTCCTTTTTCATGGATGAATCAAAAATAAAGCTGAGTGATTAATGGAAGTTTTAAATTTATTAATCATCAGGATCATTAGTCAATTACATTCAACTAATGGATTATATTTGTAGGAGACTTGGATAGTTGGAATAGTCTAAAATCTTAAAAATCACCAACACTATTTGATTGAGCTATACAACCTTGAATTCATAAAAAAAATACTAAGAAATCATTATGGCAATACTTTGATTACTTGGATAGTTGGAATAATCAAAAATGCTAACTTTGATAAGTTTATTATTTTGTGACATTAGTCAATATAATTGCAATTTAGATTGTTCAATAATTTTATGTGACACTAATCGACATAATTGATTATCACAGATAATTTATTATATTGACTGATCACCCAGATGTAATTGAGAAGGAAGGTTTTTTTTCCTAAAGTACTTGGGATTTTGTTTTGTGACTTATTTGACCAAGACTTCATTATTTTTAGTGGCTTTTTTTTTACTTTACAAGAAACATGAGGTCATATGGACAATCTAAACCTCTCACATTTTTCTATTCCTAACCTACTTAAAAACTACATATAGAACTCCTTTTGTATATCAACTCCTACTCTTTGAAATACTTATCCAATCTCCTCTTAAACTTCTTCAATGTTGCAGCTTCAACTACACCTGAAGGCAAACTATTCTACAGGCTGACCAGCCTATTAGAAAAGTAACACTGCCTTGAATGGAGTGGTGTCTGTTTTTCCATATCTCAAATTTCTGCCTCCAGAGATTTTGTGAAAATTCAGTCTTAAATTACAAATGATTAAACAAATATTTTACTATTAACTGAGGAAACAACAAAAACACCTAAATAAAAATATATAAAAATCACAAGCAAGAAATTTAATCACTCCAGCTCTTTCAAAAGACAGACCTTTCTTCTTCAGGGTCTATCTTCTCAAAGTGCTTTGGTTATTGAATTCTTTTTTAATAACTTTAGTTAATAAATGTTTAGCTTTTTTTGTATCTCAAGTTATTTACACAAGAAACTATTTATGTACAGTGGTAAGTTTTATCTGGATCTTTTACAAGATACCTACATCTCAAAATGAGAAAGCTACAGTTTAATACAATTCTCAAAACAGGTCAACATGAGAATCCTTTTATAACTAAGATGTAAAAATAAAAATTTTGGTATTGTGATCTGTCTGTTGAAGAATTACTGAACTAAAATCTTCTACAGACCGATCACAACACCAAATATTATTTTTTAATTTTAATTAACACTCAGCACAAAGAATTCACCTCTTTCATTATTAACTTTTACTGACATTAATATGTACTGTATTCCAGTAAAACATCTTGGTAATTAAGACAACAGAGGGCAACTCAGATATTTTCAAACAGATTTACCAAAATTATTAAATCATAAAATTGAAGTACACTTCATTAGGAAGGTAAATATTTTTGTGTGAAGACTTAAGTGCAAAAAAAACTGAGATTGAGTATTTGGTGCTGCTATAACATGCGGTCTACAAAGATATTTACACTATAGCATGCAGTCTACACAGATACTATTATCATCACTGTTTTAACTTTCATTTATTTGCAATTGGTACTATTTATTATAAATAACGCTTTTAAACTAATAAAGTACAAGATACCATTACATAATGTTTTGGGGGCAAATATAATTGGAATGAAATAAATTCCAACAATCGAAACTAGCATAGTTATAAACCAAATTTGAGGTATTCTTTTGGAACACACAACTTATTAAATTATTATTTGCTGAAGAAAAACGTGGATAGATAAAAATTATTTAGGAAGAAATTATGATTTAGTGAATCATTAAAATGGTGATGATGATAGTATCTGTGTAGATTGTACGCTATAGTAACACCAAGTATTCCATACAATTCTCTTTCTTTTTCATATAACACAGAACAAACCTTACTCATAAACCTTTTAAACCGAGTATTTTTTCCTTATAAAACCAATTATTTTTTTAGCAATTTTTCAACATATTAATTTTAAAATAGTATGTCTTGCTCTGTTCATTGGCTATTAGTAGCTTAATGTGTTACTTAATGAGAATAAAACATATATTCCTATTTCAAATGACTGTTTTGAATAAATCTTAATGTTTTCATTTATCCAACATTTGAAATCTTGTTTCTTAATCATAATGTTAAATTAAAACAGTTTATGAGTACTTTTTGTTTTATGCTATTTAAGGAAGAAAGAGAAATGAGGTACTTTTTTTTTTCATCATGAAAACATGAGTGAACACTTGTTTATAAACTCAACATTTCAATTTTTATGTTTTGGCTTTTACATGTAATGATAATGTAGATAACTAATATTAGTGCAAGAAGCTTGATTTTTACACTATCCTGAAAGTGAAACTATGCTATTCTTGGCATTACAGCTAACCATTTTGAATTTATTTTCTGATATTTCTGAGATAAATTTTAAAATCTTTTAAACAACAAACTAACACTGGAAAAGTAGCAAATAACTGAATCTTTCAAGTTGGATTGCTTTGCTCCTTGTAAATTGTAATAAAACTAAAACTGTAGTCTTAGTTTAATATTGTACTTTGCAGTACTTACAAGTTACATCTTACTCTAGTCTTGGCCTAACTTAGATATTTAACGATTAATATATTTATAATATAGTATTACTATCACAATCAGTGATACTGATAGTATTAGTAACATGAATTCGATTTCAAATTTTCATGACCTACTTTACTCTCAATAGTGAGCCTTATAATTCACATATGACCGATATGGAAAATCAGAATACTATTTTCATGAACAAGATTTATAGTAAATACTAACAGTAAATTACAGCCTGAAATCACAGTTTTAACTCAACACATACAATCAGAAAAAAATATAATGTTAAAACATCCTCCATTTTATGTCGACTAATCGCCACCTCTCGGTTGACAAACATTATTAATTACAATGATGAACTGCATAAATTCACATATTTAAGTTTCCGTTATATTTTGTAGCATTTTAACCAATATTTCATCTTAAGTTAACAAATGAGGCTTTCAATTATTTTATATTTGAGATTCCAGTTGTCACTGGCCATCTTGAGGCTATTCGAGTGAATTCACTGGCGGCTTGATCCTTGATGATTCTCTGGAAGTTGTCTCGACAGGAACTCTAGGCTTTTCAGTAGGTTAAGTTTCCACTGCCAGTTCTTCTCCAAAGTTACCCAGTTGGCCATTCTCTTATCGATTAACTTCCAACGATGATCAAGATGAACGACCTTTGGTATAGATTGCCTATCCTTCTAGTTTGTGTAATCCACATCACAATTTTTTTTATTTATGATGTATGGCCCTTCAGAACACCTACTGAATTCTGTATTTATACTCCTCTAATTTAATGGGAAGTTTTTAGAACTTTCTATGCCTATATTATCAAACGTTTTGATCTTAACGTCATGCCCTTTCTAGCTACTATCTAAATGAAAACATGAAGAGTATAACTTATAGCAATAGTTCTCAAACTTTAGCAGTCCCTTTTAATTTAATATTTTTTCGCAGCCCCCCAAACCTATCGATGTTTTTTATTTTGAAAAAAAGATTCGAATTACATGAAAAACTGTACTCCAGAATTAAATGTTTTAATTCGTGTAAATTTAATTTTACGAAAAATATTTTTTATTCTGTAAATCATATTGTTTTTAAATATTTTAATAACTTACTGGAGTACCCTCGCTGACCCCAGTTTGAGAAACTTATTACGCTATCTTTTAATTCTTTTGCGCTAATTGAAGTATTCAGTACATACTGAAGTTAAACTAATGACATATTTATGTCTTTCTCTCTCTCTCTTGTTCTATCACGCCATTCTCCAAGTTTTCAAAGATAACTTAAAATAAGGTTATATATATATATATATATATAATCTAAAAATTCTGTGTCCATTGAAGAATTCATTTCTTTTTGCATTTTTTAGAATTTATTTAATCCATATAAGTTGTTTCATGCGAATCCTTACAGTAATTGGCAAAATATTTTTAAAGTGAGTTTTTTAATTATGTGAACTATTATGTGTATTTGTTCTTGAGCACAAAGCTGCACAATGAGTTATCCATGCTGTATCCACCAAAGAGATCGAATCCCAAATATTAGAGTTATAAACTCTCAAGCTAATCGCTAAGTCACCAGAGGGCGACGTTAGTTACTCTGGTGAACGACCACGTGATTCACTTAAGATCATAACAGCCTATTAAACACATTAATACATTATTAAGTGCTAATGAGTCATAATGTTTAGCATGAACAATAAATTGAAAATATTTACGAAGTTCGTTTAGATAATTGTGAATATCAATATCTGAAACTTAATTCAATGCAATAAAGGTCATTCATTTTTGCACAATATAGCCTTTTCACAAAAACTGCAGAACATTTTTCAGTATCCATAAAGGTATTCTCAGATTAAAGTGATTTCTTCAATAAGTATTAGGTAGGTTTACTTTATACCGCAAGGGTTCACAGGATACATTACGAAGTGATGCTAAATTTTCAAACTGACTAGTTTTAAGCTAAGAAATAAAAAGACTGGGTACGATATGAAAACAACATTTATAACTCAAAAACACAAAGCACAATAAACATGTTTGCATTTTGACAGTGGATGGTTGCCTTCTACTGGTCTCATGAATTGATTAACATATTTTCTTCCTTCAAGCTGTCTTTCTGTGAACCAGTTCACTCAAGAATTCGAGTAGTACTGCTTGCAATATAATGTTACTTACTTACCAGCAAACGTAATATTTACTGATAAGGATTAGTGCTACCACGTGATTGGTCATTCTCATTCAACACAGGGAAGGCCATAACCTTGAGATATCATCTCTCCTACCAGAGAAGGAGACTGTTGTCGTTTAATTATTAAATTATTGTAAAATGAGCAACAATACAGCAAACCACCCACGGGTTGAATGAACAGGTATTATCTCTAAAAAACAACAAAGGAACGGAGGCAGCTAGAATGAAGCCAATTTAATGATATTCTGGACCACAAGTTATGCAAAAACCACATAGATTGAAAATAAACAACAATTTAAAATGTTTACATTAAATTAAGAAGGTAGAAAATGCACCGCATGTCTGCATATTGTATATTTCCTTCCCTTTCTGTTTCAGGCTTTTCCTCAACCCAAAAATTAAATTTTACTTTAAAACCAAATAACTTTACACTTGAAACATAGTCAAAAAGTATGCAACATGGACGACATAACCAACGAAGAACTACAAATCAAAAACTAAAACCATTTAATAAAGATTTAAATACAATATATGATAAAATTGTAAGAAAAATTATAATATTTTACACGTCAATAATATATGATACTTTAAAACACTTTTAGATAACGAAATAATATATACACCTCTCTACATAACAAGTGAACTCTTTAACTATGAAATGCACAATGCAACAAAGGAACCTTTTAACATAGGTCATAAGCACACTAAATTAAAACAAGACAAAACAAAAAACTTTTTGCCGTAGATAATAACTGTATGCTTATGGATAGCAATAGAACAACATCTTTTGTTTAAGAAATAACATTAAAATTTTAACCATGATGCAGTTGCTTTATGTAATACAAAATAAAGAAAAGGAAAAGCAGAATAAATCTTTATATATATAAAGAAAACTATAAAACCCTTTAACAGATATAGACATTTCAACATTACTATGCAATACATAATAATATCTTTCATAAAGAAGGAACATAAAATAAGATTAAAATACAAAATGAACCCTTGACAAATCACAAAGAAAAATTAGTATTATGAAAACAAAAGAAAATCATTACACACTAAATTTCAAATAGAACTCAACCACATGGATGTTTTATACAGAAATGCGGCTGCAATCAATAGAAATACAAAACCCCACTAGATATATTCTTGTTGACATTGTGGACCTTTGCTAGAGGTAAAGGACCATACATCATGTCAACAGCGTACAGTATTTCTGACCCGAGCATGAGCATGTTTGGTAAACAGGCTGTAGACCTCTGTTCAATTGCTTGTAATGTACAGAAAGTGTTCATCCTAGTCACTTTGGCTGGCAAGGATAAGGTTGGTACTTTTTATTTCCAGTTCTTCTAAACCACCTAACTGGGGATGATAAGGTAAAGTGTGCATCCTCTCCACACCTAACACTTTACACAAATTCTAAAACAACTGGCTGTTGGAATTAGCTCCCTGGTCTGTGTGGATTTCTTCAGGTGCTTAAAACCACGCTATCCAGTGTTCTACCAACACATCAGTTACAGATAATGTGATGTATAAACGAATGGGTAAGCCTTGGCTTAACTTTTGAAGTAGTCGATAACAATTGAGAGTGGATAAGCGATATACAGAAGTATTCTATGTTGAGGATATTCAATAATTCTCTGTTGAAGTTCATCCTGACTAAGTCACACACCATACAGTATTCACAGGAGAATCACTGTTGAATATTAGCACAGATGTGAGTAATACCATGGTGCCCTCCAATCGTTGTTATACAGAATTTGGAAAATCTTTTACCTTAGGGTTATGGGGACCTTTAGATGAATCAAAATCTGAGAAACACAGCTTGTTTGTTTATAACGACCATGCAACATACCTTTCTACAATTGTAAATGACCATACAACTGCCATGGTCAACGTTTTGTCGTGCTATGTTTCTCTGTTTGTGTTGGCCATATTTTACCTTACTGCATGGCAAGAAGCAGCAATGCTAGATCTGAGTCCTTCTGTTGTTCTTCTTGGAGCTTCAAAGACATTTACCTACTACTATAATCCACTACTGCATGGCTTGATATTGCTATGGTAGAAATGATTTCAACTTTTACACGGTTCCAGGATCAGGACATTCCACGAACAGACAGGGTCTCATCATGCAGTGAGATAGCCTGTTCATGTTTCTGTGTCGTGAGTCTTTGCTTTGCACTATGACAACGTCATATTTTTGTGATGTTATTATCCAGTGTGCTTTCTTCCATTCTGGATTTATAAAGTTTATAAACCATTTGATGAAGCATGTGCACTCAAGCAGTGAATCTCCAAACAGACAATTAGTGATGAGAGTGTTTTATGAAGACTACAATTGGAAACAATTATTTTCTAGTCTTACTGTGTCTGCATTTAGGAGTCACGAGTGTATGAAGCACACGCAATTACACGTTCTTCTCCATCCTGCAACTGCAGTAACATTGTCCTTGATTACATTATTGCTGGTTTCAGCATCTAATAAAAATAAATTTGATATCTTGTCGTGGATAGGCCAGCACTGGAACATCCACTAAAGCAAATTTGGGATCCAAAAGCTTGGTCATATTCCTCGACGCATCTAAAGTATCTCTCAACTTTAGGAATACTAAATAATTGGACACAAAATGTCAGTGATATAACACAAAACTGAGGAAACTGCAAACTTCTCTTTTTTAACATTTTGAAGCCAGTCTCTTATTTACCACTGCTATCTCTCAGATTTTGTAGAGACTCCATCCTATCAACAATGTGACCGAGAAACTCCACTTCTGTGTTCATGAATGTGAATTTTCTTGGTTTCTTTTTCACTTACCCAGTAGAGTATCATTCTCAGATTCTCAGCCACAGACTGTAACATGTGACGAAATACCAAAACATCACTGATGTAGATCAGATATCTCTTTCATTACAGCCTCTGCAGTGTGAATTCTGAAAAGTGGCTAGTTCATTACACAGGTCGAAGGACATAACGTGGAGCACATACAGGTAATATAATATCACGTTCTAAAGACAGCCTTAGGTGTTCTCTTGTAATCTAACTCGACTTATCAGTACCTAGATGCTAAATCTAAAGTGTTGAAGCAGCAGAATCTTGGCATACTTTTCTTATTTCTGACAACCACTAGT